AGAATGAAACCTCCAGTAACTGTGAGCTGAATAAACCTTTCCTTCCTTAAAAAAAAAAAAAAAAAAAGACTTAGCCACAAGGAACACAGAAATCATGTTATCTGCAGGAAAAGATGGGCCTGGAGGTCATGTGGCGTGAAGTAAGCCAGACTCAGAAAAGAATCGCATGCTCTCCCTAATATGTAGACTCTAAAAAGATGCCAAAACAGAAGGGAGACCCTTACCAGACAAGAGGAAGGGGAGAAGGGGGAGGAAAGGGCACAGAAACAGCTAATACGGAGCATGAACAGGACCAAAATACTTCACACTGAAACGCCTCGAAAACATGCAACTGGGCAGGAGGGCTGATGAAAATGTTTATGTGCATGTAAAAAAGTAAATTTTCTATTTTCCCTAGTTTGTAGATAATCTAAATAGTACATTGTCTTCTCACTTCACTTATTAAAAAAAATCCTCTATTCTTAATTTCTAAAGTAGTTTTTAATAGGAAGTAGGGTCTCTAAACTGGAGTCAGATCTTAGCAACTACCTTCTTTTTTTTTGGCGGAACTAGGGATTGAATTCAGGCCCTTGTGCTTGCTAGGCAAGCACTTATTCTACTGAGCCATCTCCCCGGCCCCAACTACCTTTTTTTTTTTTTTTCATTTACTGTTTTACTTCTTACTTTATTTTGCAACTTTACTGAAAATGGTTTGCTTTTTTTTTTTCAGTACCAGGATTGAACTCAGGACCTTGCGCTTGCCAGGCAGGTGCTTATGCTGCTGAGCTATATCCCCAGCCCCCAACTACCTTCTAAATACACACTAAGATGATTTCAATTTTTAACACTATGAAGTAACATTCTAACCCCTTATTTAAAAAATTCATACTTGATGCTTTGCTGTGTCTGACTTGGTTCTTTTTTTTTTTTTTGCGGAACCGGGGATTGAACTCAGGTCCTTGAGCTTGCCAGGCAAGTGCTTATTCCACCAAGCTATCTCCCCGGCCCCTGACTTGGTTCTTCTTATAAAGGAACACTGCAGACTTGAAGTGTCCTTTGCGTGTCCTCACCCCTACCGCCCCTCCTCCTCCAGCGTGCCGCTGCTGTGCAGCCCTCTCGTCAGTGTTTACATTTCCACTTGCATGCAGTGTCCATGAGCAGTAGCGAGCACTCTTGCTGTGTTTTTAAAGACTTCCACAGCTGGGCACGGCAGTGCACGCCTGCAGCCTAGCACTCCGACAGCCTGAGGACTACAAGTTCCAGTCCTGCTGAGCAGTTAGTTATTTAGCAAGGCTCTGCCTCAAAATAAAATATAAAAGAAGAGCTTGTGAGGTGGCTCTATGAGAAGGGTTTAACCTCCTATACCGCACAAAAAGATTTACATAGAAGAAATCATATTTATATATTCCTTTGTAACTCTTTCTCCTTAACACAGTGTTCTCAAGATCCATCTACGCAATCAGTTACAGATCTGCTTTAAGCCACTTTCTAAGATTTCAGTGGATGAGTACTGTATAATCTGTTTAAGGCATTTGGGTTTACCAGAGCAACTGCGATTGATGTAGTTCTCACATAACCACCAGTGTGTCACCTCGTAAGTCCTCAGCATTTCCTGGTCTCAGATGTACCGGGCCCCAAGCAGCGGTAGACCTGCAGAGCCCTGTGCTGCTGTGAGGGTGCAGCCTGGGTGCCTCAGAGTGCGGGAAAGCACCTCTTCCAGCCACAATTCTATCACACGAATCAATCTCTACACTGAGAATCAACTTTGGATTTGTGGTTTAAATTCTTTTAAGTGTGGCATGTCCTTAGCAGCTTTCCTTGGATTATACTTTGCAAACCATGAATCCCTTTAAGTATACAACTCTGGCTCTTAGTAAATATAGACTCCTGCAATGATCGCCACCACTGTGCTACAGGATCCCTTGGGCCCACCTGCAGACAACCCTGATCCCCTGCCCTAGGAACCCACTGTCTACGCCCATGTATAGCTGCTTTCCTTAGGACATTTTATCAACTCAGCATCAGGCAACACATGATCCTTTGCCTTCCGTGTTTCCCACAGCAAGCTGAAGTCCATCCACATCACAGCATGTCTCGGGCAGCCATTTTTCACTCAGCTGCATCCCACTGTATGGACACAGCAGCTTGTTCTTCTCTGCTCATGGGCACTTGGGCTGTTCCTGTTCTGGGCCATTAGGAAACATATATCTATGAACGTGTGTGTGTGTGCACGCGCGCGCGTGCACACGGATGCTTTCATTTCTTCTGAGTGTGCTCCCAGAAACAGAACTGCTGGGTCATACCTGAAGAACTGACGGACTGTTTTCCAAGTGGCTGTCATCCTACATTCCCAGAAGCAATACACGAAGGCTACCATGGCCACGTGTGCCCTATCTCTTCTTAGTGACAGCCACCCCATGGCTGTGAAGGATTTCTCCCTGGAGTTTTATTTGGTATCTCCATAACAGCTAAAGATATATAGCACTTTTTTCATGTACTGATTAGTTATTCAGGTATCTTCTCTGACAAAATGTCTATCTAAATCCTTTGCCTATTCATTTTGCCTCTTTGAGACAAGGTCTCCCTGTAGTTCAGCCTGGCCTTTAACTCTCTAAGTAGCCCAGGGTGACCCTGAACTTGCAGCGATCCTCTTGCCTCAGCTTCTCAAATGCTACAATACGGGTGTGCACCACCACACCCGGCTTCCTTTGCCCATTTAAAAAAAAACGTCTTAGGCAGATGTAGCTCAGTGGTAAAGCACTACCTACCTATCACGTGTGAGGTCTCAGTTCAATCCCCAGCACCTCCCTCCCAAAGTCTTAAAATGTGTTTACTTTTTTATTTTTTAATTTTTTTATTTTTTTTGTATTTAGGATAGAGTGTACAGGGTCTCACTGCATAGATCTGACTCATAGTGATCCTCCTATTTACAGCCTCCCCGCAGTCTCAGCGTGCCCTGCCCCCCACTCCCTGCAGGCCAGGCCAGGCCAGGGGATCAAACTCCCGGCTCCTGCATCTGCCTAACAGATACTTTAATGCACTGAGCTATCAGGGCTTTAATCTGCTGAGCTTTCATGTTGGCCCAGTATTTATTTGCTTTTTACTGCAGTAAAAAAGCTGTCATTAAATTTACCATCTTAATTAATTTCCAGTGTATTAGTGGTGTCAAGTGTATTCACCCTGCTACAGAACTGATACTCAGAACTTTCGCAGAACTGCAGCTCTGCTCCCACTACACTCTCCATCTCCAGTGCCGGAAACCTTTACCCGCTCAGCTCTATTCCGATTTGATTCTCACTGCTCTGACCAGAGAGCTCCAGGAGTGGAAGCATACACTACTGTCCTGTGACTGCTTATTTCACTTGACATAATGTCCTCAAGCGCTCCGCCATTATGTACCACATGACAGGGCTGGCTCTTTCCCTAAACAGGACCTCTTCTCCTATAAGGACCCGCGGTGTACTTTGTCCGTATCCACTTGCCCGTGGGCACTGACTCGCCACTGACGTCACACAAACCGCTTCCGACTCCAGGCCACTGTGAGTAACTGTGAACATGGGTGTGCAAGTAACTGTGAGCTCCCACACTGACTTCCTGTGCCACCTACCCTGAGGTGGACTTCCTAGATCTTAATGCCATTCTACTTTAATTGTTTTAAGGAGTCTCCAGATTGGTTTTCATAATGTTTATAACATTTCATATTCTCAAACCCAGTGAAAAACGTTCTAATTTCTCTACATCCTTGCTAACATTTTTCTTACAGTTTATATTTATCTTAATTTTTATTTTATTATCATTTTTTCTCTGTACTGAGGATTGAATTCAGGACCTTGCACTTGCCAGGAAGGTGCTTATGCTGCTGAGCCATCTCCCTAGCCCCTTAATTTTTAAAATGATGTCCTTTCTGCTTGTTTTTGAGTCTCTGTGTAGTACAGGCTGGTCTTGAACTATTATGCAGCCCATGCTGGCTCTGTCTGAACTGGTGGCGATCCTCCTGCCTCAGCCTCCTGAGTGCTGGGACCACAGGTGCATGCTGCCACATCTCACTAAAATAAGGTCTCTTAAAGTAGAAGTTTTTAAATTTTGATGAATTCTAATTTAGCAATTCTTTTTCTTTGGTGAAGTTTGTCTTTTTTTTTTTTTTTTTTTTTTGTCATTCTGAAACAGGGTTTTGCTATGCAGTTCTGGCTGGCCTTGAGCTCACTCTGTAGCCCAGGCTGGCCATGAATTCAAAACAATCCACCTGCCTCAGCCACCATGCCCAGCTGAACTGTTTTTGTGTTAAATTTAATATCTCCTGGCTGGGACATAGCACCTGCCTAACAAGCACAAGATCTGGGTTTGATTCTAGGTACCAAAAAGAAAAAAAAAAAAAAAAAATCTAACACTTCTTTGCCTAACTCAAAGTCACCAAGATCTTCCTCTAAAAGTTACATAATTTAGTTCTCATACTTAAGGGCTACGACCCCCTTCTCCTTTACTTAATTTTCCCACTGAATTCCCTTGGTGCAGCTGTCAAAAAACAAGTGCTTACATACTATCTCAAGGCTTATTTCTGATCTTTTAATTCTATTCCCTTTATCTATATGCCCATCTTCATGCCAGGACTGCTTCTCTTTTTGTGTGTGTGTCTTTTTGAGACAGGGTTTTGCTGTGCCGTTCAGGCTGGCCTTGAACTCACTACACATCCTGGACTGGCCTTGAACCCGTGGATCCTCCTGAGTGCCAGTACTGGGATTACAAACGTGCAGCACCATGCTGGCTGGAAATTTTCAGCATGAAAACCTTAACAAGGGGCAGATGAAGCTGGGCGGCGGTGCATGCTTCGTCCCAGGTACCCAGGAGCCAGAAGCACTGCACTCGGGCCAGGAGCTTGAGACCCAGGCAGGTGCCACAGCAAGATGGCCCAGGCCAGTGTCAGGTCGCGCCTTATCCTCAGAGATTTTAAAAATTAACACAGTGCCTTAAAATAATCTGTAATCTGTTAAGATTTACAAATGCAACATCAATAATATACTCACCAGTAATTGCCCCATTCAATCATGGTTCCTGGCTGAAAAGAGATTTAGATTTATTACTATGTCTATGATAAAATATAGAAACAAGAATACAAAGATGATTATATGCTGCCTTCCTATCTCATGATGGGAATATCATTTTATGGCCTCACACAAGAAGACAACATATATCCACTGGTGCTTATCGAGCCCCCAGAAGCCCCAAGCCACATGCAGGTTGATCCTTTAGATGCAGCACCAAAGGTCGGCTCTCATCTTTGCCTTCACACAAGGGATTACTGCAGTCTACTGGGCATATTCCAGTAGTCCCTTGCTATTTTGCAGCGTGACTTTCGTGGACTGTTACACGGGTGTTCAAAAAATATTCATCTAAATTATCGTGGATTTTTGGCTATATTGTGGGATTTTGCAGCACCATACAGTATACATGTTAAAATTATGTAGGTTTGGGGCCTGGCTCAGTAGAATAAGTGCTTGCCTGGCAAGCTCAAGTGCCTGAGTTTAATCCCCGGTTCTGAAAAAAAAAAAAAAAAAATTACATAGGTTTACGAGTTTAGAAAATGGTTAGGAACATTAGAAGTGGTTTTTTTTTTTTTAAGTGTGGGAAGGGCTGACGCGATAGCTCAGTGGTCTAAAGTGCCTGCTTAGGCAAGCTTAGGCATAGCGCAGGGACCACAGTTCGATCCCCCGGTACCACATGCCAGCCAGCCCCACCCCAGATGGGCTGAGCTGGCCACCAAAAAAAAAACCCAAAAAACAAATAAGTAAGTAAATGTGTGAGAGGGAAAAAGTGTGGGAAAAGTTTGTAAGAGTGTGTCTGGAATGTAACCTCTGTGATAAGTGAGGGACCACTGTACTTTTAATACTGCTGTTGTTCAATTGTCACAGTATTTTTTTGTTTGTCTGTTTATGTATTTGGTACAGGGTCTCACTACACAGATTAGACTCAAGAGATTCTTCTATTTTCAGCTTCCCAAGTGCTGGGATTATAGGTGTGTGCTTCCACACCCAGTCTGAAATGCCACCTCAGGGGCAGGGGTCAGCACAGCATGCTGGGGTACAGGCCACTGCGCTCTGCCTAAGCTGGCACTTTAGTCCACTGAGCTATCTGAGTGGCTCTATGTCACAGCATTTACGAGTTGCTCTGGTTCAACTGTACTGTGTCTCATGAGCTCTGCCTAGTCCTACACTTGAGGTCTTTCCTCTTAAAAGGCATGAGATGGTGCCTGTGCTTTGTCATAGGACGAGGCGACAGGTCACTCACATTCTGTACTTACTCGGAGCTGGTAAGACCTGAGTTCATAGATATTAGGTCCTGAGCGGGGGACAGGCTCATTCCAGAAACTGAACTCCAGAAGCAGCTGATTTTTCCTGGAGAGAAGCATGTTGCTTCTTGCCTTACGGAAATGTGCAAATTCCTTTTGGTGAAAAAAAAATGGGCTTATGAAATCTTCTTGCACTTATGTAAGTGTACTTGTGTAACAACTACGTTCCCTCAGAACTTGACTACAGAGTAATTAGCATGACCCCTCACCTGTGCTGATCCCAGTTTTTCTCTGCTGAAGTGGTGTACTAACTTATACCTCCTTCTCACTCTCCTGTCCAAGTTGGTTGGCTGGTTAGCTGGTTGATTTTGGCTATCTGAGACAGGGTCTCATTCTGTAATTCAGCCTGGTTTTCAACTATTTACACCAGGCTAGCCTCAAACTCACAGCAATCCTCCTGCCTCAGCTGAGTGCTAGGATCACAGGCACGTGCCACCATGCCTGGCTATTATCCAGGTCTGGACAACAAATTACATATTTATCCTAAATATTTAAATAATAAGGTAACCAAATTTAGTTTATTCTATTTTTTATTTCCCTAGTTTAAATATGGAAGTAATGCAAGGACTACAAACAGCAGATAACTCGAAAGGCATTGGTCTGGGAACATACACAAAAAATTTCCTTTTGTAATGCTGTCTGCTGTTACACTGCCCTCTACTAATGGGCAGACAGCACACACCCCAGTCCCAGCACTCTGAGAGGCTGAGGCAGGGGGATTCCAAGTTCAAACCCACCTTGGGCAATTTAGCAAGCTTTTATTTCAAAAATAAAAGAGGTGGCACTGGGGATATAGCTCAGTGTGCCCTTACAGCAAGAAATAAAACTACCAACATGCACCTACCATGAAAAGGTGGGTAGGTGGGACAGCAAAGTCAGTCCACAATAAAGAAGCAGCTTGTGACCGACAGGTCCTACAGTGGACATGTGCAGTGCCACGCAATCCAGGCTGACTGGCGACCAGCCTGACTTTCCAGTTTCAGAGTACAACTGACTTCTACAAGAACCGTTATTTTAATAGTGTTACTATGGCTAGTTTATGTTTACACAGAACATGAGAGGCCAAATGATAATACTTCTAAGATAAAAACTCTTTACTAACAGGAATCGATGACAGAAAAGTCATTTAATTCTTTTTATTTTTTTTAAATTAATTAATTAATTAATTCATTTTGTGTGTGTGTGGCCAGCTCAGCCCACCAGGGGGCGGGGCTGGCTGGCATGTGGTGCTGGGGATTGAACCGTGGTCCCTGTGCTTTTGCTTAGCTTAGCTTGTTCTAAGTAGGTGCTTTAGACCACCGAGCCATCTCACCAGCCCAGTCACTTAATTCTTGACTAATATCTCCTGTATTTATGCCAAGTACTGTACAGAAGTTTTCCAAATTATTACCTGATTTCCTCTGAGTTTACTCATGACCTCCATGAGGGCTGGATAGCCTCCCTCGTACCTCCAGAGGTGGACTGAAAGGATTTGAAAAGACAGCACACATTTAGAGGTTTGTGACACTCGTGTCCTTCAGGCGCAATGCTAACAGCACAAAACTGCAACACACCGTGTCCTGGCTCACACTGCAAGGTTCGCAGAACGGTTTCAAACAGAAAACAATTAAAAAGTAGGCTTTGGAGTGATTTTTTTTTTGAGTGAATTACTGAAGAAACTATTTTAACCATAAAATGGCTGAGATATGGACAGCTTTGATTATAAAAACAAATATTAATTAAAAATCACTAATGAGTAAGGAAGAAGCATTTGTTTCAGAGACTTCTGCTTCCTACCAGCTTGATCCTGCTCGCCATACCACGTGTTCCAAGTCCCCACCAAGGTGCAGGGGTAATGTTTATCTTCGTGGATCTTTGGTAACACCTCTTGACTTAAAGAGAAGAAACAGCAGCACTAATTAAACAACTCACGGAACTTATGAGCAGACAACACAGAACAGTGGCACCAGGAGTAGGATCACCCACTCTGTGGCCACTCACCTCAGAACGCATTTATGGGTGAACAACGGGCAGGACTACGCTTTGGGCTGAGTTTCACTGTAATGCTTTACTTACCAAAAACTTTGGTTTTAACCTCAGCCATCTAGAAAAGTTGTAAGCAACTCAAGTATAAACACGATGAAAAAAGAGCTAAAGGTCTCAAGATTGCAGGAGCTGTGGGTCTAGGATTTCCATTTCAGGGGGAAAAAAATTAAAGTTTTTCTGAAAAATGGGATCAGTGAGATAGCTCAGTGGACTAAAGCACCTGCTTAGGCAAGCTTAGGCAAGCGCAGGGGCCAGGGTTCAATCCCTGGCACCACATCCTGAGCTGGCCCCGCCCCTAGCACGGGCTGAGCTGGCCACAGAGTCCAGACATAGGGGCCTACGCCTGTAATCCCAGGGCTGGGGAGGCTGAAAACAGAAGGATCACCATGAGTCTGAGCAGCATTGTCAGACCCTGCACAACCAAATACAATTTTTAAAAACTTAAAAAAAGGGCTGGTGAGATGGCTCAGTGGTCTAAAGCACCTACTTAGAACAAGCTTAGCAAAGCATCAGGGACCGCGGTTCAATCCCCCAGCACCACATGCCAGCCAGCCGCGCCCCCTGGTGGGCTGAGCTGGCCACACACACACACACACACACACACACACCTCTCTCTCTCTCTCTCTCTCTCTCTCTCTCTCTCTCTCTCTCTCTCAAATAAATTAAAAAAAAAAACTTAAAAAAAAAAAACTTAAAAAAAAAGTTATTTAAAAAGGAAGGATAATTACTTAGGAATGTGATATTTATGAAATCTAAGTTCTGCTGATTCTAAAGGTAAAAAGAGTAAGAGACACAGGAATGGTAGAAAAGAGCATGGGTGAAGTAAGAAGGGGAGAATAAAGCTGAAGACAGAGGCAGCCAAAAGACGGGGCAGCAGCAGGCTGAAGCAACAGAAACAGAGGACAGTGAGGCCTTAGGGAGGGAGAAGACAGGGCCAGAATAGCACAGAGCGTGGGAGCACCCCAACCTCTGAGTCCCAAGGGTGTCAACGGGACTCGGGCAATGTGGAAGGAAAAGCTAGGTTCCAGGTTCTACGCGATTCAGGTGGCTGAGTGATTCCAGAGACCTACGCAGTGCCTGAACACACGTCATTTCCCTTGGCTGCAGGGGGCAGAGGCAGGACAGTGCAGCTGTGTGACGGAGGGGCTGCATCAGCGCTCAGTTCCAGGGACGCTTACTGGTGATCTAGATTCTAACATTCAAAGACAGGGATGAGGCATGATGCTTTGTATCAGGAGGAAACCTCAGACCTATGTAATTTTGGAAAAGAAAACTGCGATAAAACCAGGCATCTATTCAACAATGGATTCAAACACAGTTACAAAGGTCAGAAATGAAACCTGCTCAAATGATTGCAGGCAATGCCTCATCTCAGACTGGTGGCCACCACCACATGCTGGGATACTATGACCAGGTGCATATGAAGAGGTGACAGAGCTACGCTGTGAACAGCCTAGGTCCAATTGAAAACCATACTTTATATGACCGTGTCTTCTTTTGAAGGGTAGTGTTTACTTTTAAAATTAGGGTCCCAGGGGGCCTGGCCCTAGCTCAGGCCTTTAAGTGGCTGCTTCCACAAAGCTGTCAGCCTCAGGTTGCTGGAGTTCGAACCTCACACCTCTCCAGCTGGCCAAAAGTGCCCTGAAGGCATTCGAGGAACAAAAAAAAAAAAAACAAACAAACAAAAAAAAAAAATTAGGGTCCCATATTAAAGGCATCCCCTCTGCATAACCCAGGAGAGTTCAGAAGTAATGAGGACTGATGAAAATCAGGGGTGGGGAAAGATGGATTACGTTAGGAAGATGAAAATGGTTTTTTTTTGCCACATGACATGAGCAGGAAGTAAAAAGCTCTGAATTACAGCAAATGCAGACAACATCGGTATAAACGGCCATGGTGTGGCTCACAAAAGCACTGGGGCCCATAAGTGGGGTCCTGGTTTGACATCAATACCAAAGTCATGTGTAGAGCTGGGGTCAGTCCCAGCCAATCCTCTGTACTGGGGGCCCCACAACTGCTCCTCCCAGCCCTGGCCTTACCTGAAGGGAGGCTGTAAGGCAGGCAGTACTTGTACCCAGAACTTGACGGCTGGGCAGAATCTCATTATAGGGGTCCCTAAAAACCAAGAGGAGTTCAGTCTTTATGTTCTGGAAACAGAGCTGCTGAAAGTTTCAGAAAAAAGAGAAAACCTGATAGGGAGCAAGCCAACCTGACAGGCTTTTGGGTAACACTTTCTAGAACAGGGTGGGCTTACAGGTTCAAGCTCAAGGAAAGGGGCCAGAAACTGCAGGTGGGGCTTGCCTGGACTGGAGAAGGAGACAGGGAAAGGAGCAAAGAGAATCCAAACAACACACGTGTCAGAGGAGACTGTCCAGCGCTCAGCAGCCAGCTAGTCATGAAGAACACAGGAAAGCGTGAAGCAGCACACACAGATGGGGATGTGCACAGAGCAGGGTGATTCGACAGGCTGAGGTCACAGTGAGAGCAGAGCATCCCCAAATAAGTATGAAATAGGAGACAGGAGATGCAATGATAAAAACAAGACAAAGAAAAAAATAATCCAGGGAAACATTAACACAGGGAAAACTTTCATTCCCTGAGAAAAGACTAAGAAGTATCTATTTTGTTCTAGGTTTATTTATTTATATATTTATTTAGAGACAGGATCTTGATAAAGTAGCCCAAGCTAGCCTTGAAGTCAAAGTGATCCTCCTGCCTCAGCCTCCCATGTGTTGGGATTATAGGTGTGCACCACCATGCTTGGCTTATTTTAGGTCATTTTTAAATAAAGTAAAATATGCCAGGATGAGAATTTCTAGTCAAATATTACAAAACACCCTCAACAATGAAAAATAAAATTGCAACAGATTTTAGCTTATGAAATTTTGCTAACTCTACAGACAGAATCATTTACTTCCTCATGAAAATACAGTAAAGATTAAACAATAATTTCAGTATATTTGCTTGCAGCTGATCATTAAAATACTACTTTGCCAATTCAATCAAGAACCAATGGGTTGGGGCCAGGGAGATGGCTCAGTAGAATAAGCACTTGCCTGGCAAGCACAAGGGTCTGAGTTCAATCCCTGGTTCCGCCCCACCCCACCCCCCCAAAAAAAAGAAAAAGAAAAGAAAAAAGAACCAATGGGTAGCACACCTGTAATCCCAGCACTTGGGAGGCTGAGGCAGGAGGACTGTTGTAAATTCGAGAACAGCCAGGGCTACAAAGTAAGTTCAAGGCCAGCCTGAACTGCACAGTGAGCACCCCCCCCCCAAAAAAAAGACTTGATGGGTTAAATTCTTTTAGTCTTAAATTATGTATTTTACCAGAAAGTCTCTCATATCATATGACAACTGCCTCAAGGGACCAGGATTCTAGAGAAGGGAAGACTTAGCAAGAAAAGACAGCTACATCCAAATACGAACCAGACTTCTGTGTTTTACTTAGGAGGGAGACAGAAACAAAGGAAGTTACAGGAATATGAATCCTAATTCCCAATACTCTTAACTGTTCAGTGCCGGGACCTGTGTAAGCACAGGCGGACAGGTCTGCAGCAAAGACTCAAGCACTGCGTGAGTAGATGGGTTACGGCGCTTTGCATAGTTCTTTCCAACCCTGACAGACCAGAGACAGCCCAAGAGTTGACAGACTGGGTGATTTAGCTGTGTGAGTGCTTAAACTAAAAACAGCACTCACAATCCCACACAGAGACTCAGCCTGAAGGAGATAAAATATCTTGAGTTCTTGCTATCAAGTGCGATTTAAAAACAAAAAAGTTTAAGTCACTGATTCCCCAAGGAAAAGATAAGCTGGCATACACACCAAATTTTGTTGTATTCTTCTAGGCATTCCGGTTTAACATTGTGAACTGAAACAAAAGAAAATTTGACAATAAACTTATGAACAAACAAACAGAAGTCAACCAGGAAGGTAGTGAACTTATTACTCACACTGTAACTTGTACAGACTGCTCGTTTCCTTTTTGGCTAGGAGATTGGAGTGAGCGTCTTTTCTTGGGTCAACTTTCCTGACAAACAAGGATTTTAACCAGCTGTCTTCTCGAGGTCTGCTACTGGAAGATGTCAGGCTCCTATGGAAGAGCAAATCCAGTAACGTGAGTCTCATCAGAAGTGCAGAGACCTCAGTGTCTCTAGGTGGCGACACAGGGCTCACTGCTTTCAGAACAGGAATGGGCCCCACCGCACGCCAGCTTTCTGACAGCACAGCCCACTCCCTAAACCTCAGGAGCAGAGCAAAGCATGCAGCCCCCTGGGATGTTGCGAGGCGCTCTCATGTTTCTCGTGGCAATCTGCGCTGATTTGGACATCTCTATGTGCAAAGCACAGAACAGACCGTGGGGTGCTGGCTGCTGGGAATGGAAGACAGGAGACAAACAACTGGGGTGGGCAGGCTGCTGCTCAGTGGATAGTTTCAGTTTGGAAGAGGAAAAACTACTGAACAGGGATGGTGGTGATGGCTGTTCAATGATATGAATATACTTAATGTCACTGAACTGTACACTGAGAAATGATCAAAAGCATGAAATTGTATTATGTACCATTTTTGGAGATAGGGTCTTGCTATATAATTCCCATTGGCCTTGAATTTATTATGTAACAGAAGCTGGCCTCAAACTTGCTGAGATCCTCCTGCCTCAGTCTCCCCAGTGCTGAGATTACAGGCATGTGCCACCACATCCAGTTGTTAGGTCCATTTTTCCATGATTTAAAAAAAAAAGGACTTGGAAACAGTGGTAATGGTTGTGTAACACTGTAACTGCAGCTAGAGTCAGTAAATCATACACTTAAAAATTAAAATAGAGGCACAGAAAAAAAAAAAACCTTGGCATGGGAGGCTGAGGCAGGAAGACCACTGTGAGTTTGAGGTCAGACTGGCTACATAAGCAAGTTCAAGAATAACCCACACTGCATTCTGTACTGTATAGCACAGCCCTGTGAGCGTGGGGGTAGTGCTGGGACATATGCCAGCGGTGAAGCACTTGCCCAGCATGTGGGAGGTCTTGGATGGGATCCCCATCGCCTGCCCAAGAATAAACTGGGCTCACACCACAATCTATACTTTACCCATGGATCTTTAAGTGCGTGTTCAACTGCCATGCACACGTGTGCTAGTGAGACTACAAGCCTGTGCAATCTGGAGGGTAGTGTGATACTATTCATGTCAAAATCGAAACTGACATTTGGCCCAGTAACTACTCTGGCGGTTATATCCTGCAGGCAGTTATATTTAGATAAGTGCACAGAGCTGAAGGCACAAGAACATTCTTTATTGTCTTGTTTTCAGGTTTTCCTAATTCAGGCAATTTGGATATCCACTAACACAGGCTGGCTAAATAAATTAGGGAATGCCCAGAGCGGAAGGCATGCAATCATTAAAAAGAATGCTATAGCTCTGCATGCGCCGACATGTTGATATCTTTGAGATAAATTCCTTGGGAAGCGCAGGCGTAGGAGAGTGCCACACATTCACACAAAGCAAACTGTAAGTGGTGACTGTGCCTGGGGACTATGACAGGGCCTCGAGCAGGAGTCAAGATTTTTTTCTTTTTAATGTATTGATGCATTATGTGAAATAATTCGATATTATTTTTATTTAAATTTTTTTTTTTAAATTTTATTTATTTATGTGTGTGTGGCCAGCTCAGCCCACCAGGGGGCGGGGCTGGCTGGCATGTGGTGCTGGGGATTGAACCGTGGTCCCTGTGCTTTGCTAAGCTTGTTCTAAGTAGGTACTTTAGACCACTGAGCCATCTCACCAGCCCTCGATATTATTTTTATAAGTAAAGATTAGGTTAAAATACCTAAAAAGTGTATGTTTCAAAATCTTTCTGTAAGTAACTACTGAAAACAATACTGAAGAAATTCAAACCTGGTCAAGACTTTCTTTCTAAGCTTCCATAATCATGATCAAATAACAACCTGCTTCCTTGTGTCTTCCTTTTGTTTAAACTTATATACAGTAAACCATACTTTTTTTTTTTGCAGTCCTATGTTTTGACAAATGCAGAAAATCATATACTCATCACTATGAAAAGATACAATTCCTTCAATTTCCAAAATTCCTTTTTGTAATCGGTCCTCGTCCCCACCATGGCGACGACAGCTGTTCTCTGTCCCTTTAGTTCTGCCCTCCTTGACTGTCCTATCACACAGGATGGAGCCTTCTGAATTCATGCCCTTTCTTGCTCCCTATCCCTTCTATAATCCCCAACCACCATCTCTGGCTACAGTCACTTCAGCTATCTTTGGCCCCTTTCCTGAGCTTTCCTAGGTAACATGCTGGGGTTCCAAATGCCCATGACACCCTCAGCCAGGGCTGCAACGTTGGGATGCCAGCAGGCCAGCGTAAACCCATTCCTGGGGATCTCTATAGAAACAGTGAAGGATTTTCAAGACTCATTATAATCTGTACAGCAGACTAACTTAAGGACCTGCCATTAGCAGACAAATATAGGAGGAAGAGAGAGCGACCTCAGAGTAACTCTGGAGGAGGACCAGCAATTTAAACAGGGACAAGAAGAACTCATTAGGGCAAGTTCCCATTGCATCATGAGATGAATATTTAGATCTCAACTACAAAATATAAATCCCTATTCCTGTTCAACTATGGTATTCTGGAAATAACAGTGCTTTAAATCTCACATTGGCAACTTCCTCCCCCGCCCTTAAAATAGTAACTAATTTATTGAACAAACATTGCAATTTCTTCCTGCATAAGTACCTGCCTGGCAAGCATAAGGTCCTGAGCTCAATCCCTGGTACTACCAAAACAAAACAAAACAAAACAAAACTTCCTTATAAGAATTTTTTTTTTTTTTTTTGTATTTTAGTACAGGGTCTACAGGGTCTCACTACATAGATCGCACTCATAGTGATTCTCCTGTGTTCAGCCTTCTAAGAGCTGGGATTACAGGTGTGCATCACCACGCCCAGTCTCAATCGCTGTCTCAGTGAGACCCTGTATCAAATACATTTTTAAAAAGTTATTTTATTCATTTTTTTTTTTTTTTTGGAGACAGTGTCTAGCTATGTTTAAACTTCGAGACAGTGTATGGCTATGTAGGTCAGGCTGGTTTCGAACTTACTATGTAGCCTGGGCTGCCCTCAAACTCATGGTGCTCCTCCTATCTCAGATCCCCATTGCTGGGATTATAGGCATGCACCACCATAACTGGCTTTGATGTTATTTTAATTTAAAAAACAATTTCTAGAGAGCAGGTATGGTGACACACACTCTGTAATCCCAGCTACCAGGGCGGGGTGTTCACAAATTTGAGGCCAACCGTGTTAGCTCAGGGAGACCCTGTCTCAAGGTAAAAACATTTAAAAAGGGGAGAGGATATAACTCAGAGCACAGCATTTGTATAGCATGTGCAAGGCCTTTGGTTCCATTTTTAGTACCATAAAAACTAACAAACCAAAGATAATTCATAAGATATTATCTCAAATAGTTAAGAGACCCAGATAAAGATTTGAGTGGTGTGAACTTACGAATATACAAACCAAAATGCCAATATCAAATTACTAATGTTTCTTGTAGTGATCAAGAAACAAAGCATTTTCAAATCCTTCAAAGATTAAAAAGCAGCAAACTCATATTAAATAAGCAAAATAATAAATTAGAATCAGTATAATACCAGTACCAATTTTCTTATGAAGTGGATAGGACTAAAATATACAGTCCCTCATGGCATATGTAAAAGAAGGTGACAGTCTGTTACCCTCAACTGACCGGTGGCAAGCTGCATTCTTCTGAGCGTCAGGTGGCTAAAGCTGCTCCAAGTGCTTGGTGCATTTAGTGATCTAACCCGAATCGCAGGCGGGTTCTGCGGACTCCACAGGAGCGGCTCTGCCAACAGCTGCCAGTGATAAGGTCTGGCAGGGCCTGGGTCCTTACTGACTTTGACAATTATCAAGGTCAGGAGTGCAGGGGGTGCATCAGCGAGGGCAGAGACGCACATCCTACACCACTAGACTTCCAACAGAATGAGCAGTACGGGCTGGCTCTGTGGGCCATAACCGGGTCAGATGCCAAGCTTGTTCAGCCTTGGGGAACCCCTCAGTACCCACCCGGAGATCACAGGAACTGCAGACGTAGAAACACGGTGCAAGAGCGCAGGGGAATGGACTGCTGGCTTGCAAAAGCATCTGGGGTGAGACTCCAGTGGAGACCTTCCTAGCGTGCGCCGGAGGACAAGTAAGGCAGGTAACAAATCCAGTCAAGGGGCACATGTACCCAGGCCAATGTTTAAATAAAAATGCATTACAGTAAGACACACTGCCATTTATCCCCCCCCCCCCCCCAAATAGTTGCTCTCCTTTCAAACACATCCATCTCACTTTCGAAGCAATTCTGGAAGTCTTCAGTATTTTTCTGAGGTGTGGTGAATGCTGCTGAAAGCCATCCAATGGAATAGCAGGATCATCAAAATGTGACACTGTGTCCCCATCCATCTCATTCACTAGATCTGGCACCTTGTAACATCTGGCTCCTTCCCCAAGGCAAAATGACCATGAAAGGGAAACATTAATCGGTTCAGGCCCTGGAGGCAGCCACAGCAGCAGAAATACAGAACCTGGAGCCTCTGGGCCACAAAGGGCTCTGCAAGGCAGAAGAACAGGGAGAGGATGATGGGCAAGCCACGATGGGTGGCAGAGCAGGCAGGGCAGCCAGGCTCTAGTGCACCATGCCTAGCAGCTCCACCTCCTCCTGCACAAAGTGTGATGCCAGCAAGTTTTTAGAAAAGTGTAGTTGGCAGCCTGGCAGTGGTGTGGCAGATGCAGCAGCAATACGGGCAGGATGCATGGCTCCTGGGCTCCCCTGTGTTAGGGCACCCAGCACCAGTACAAAGGGGACATCTGACACTCAGTGGATACATCAACAGAGGGCCAGGGTAAGGAGGACGGCAGTAGAGAAGCAGGCAAAGAATCCACTCCTTGGGTAGGAGAGAATCTGGTCCCGATCGGGGCGGTGCACGGTGCGAGGGTTTACACAGAGCAAACTGAAGAACACATCAGCGTGGGGCTGCAGTAGCAGCGCTGGCCACATGCATCTGATCCTCACGTATTTACTGACTCCGCCCAGCATGAGCCCGGCACTAGGCCAAGCTGAAGACACAAAGAGGAGTAAACCAAGCTTGCCTTCCAAGAAGTCAGTTTGTTGGTGGAGGCACAGAAGTATGGCTCTGACCTCATGAGCGACACAAGGTGGCAGCTGTGCTGGAGGCTGTGGAGTCCAAGGCAACCTGGAGAAGCCCTACAACTACGTGGAGACAAGGAGCACTTTGTGGGGTCCCGAGACCACCACTGTGGGCTGATCCAGTTTTCTTCTGTCATCTTACACTTAATCTTTAAGCAGTACTGGCATAGGTAACGCTTTTCTAGAAATACCCTGGCGGGCAGCTGTCATTTAATAGTGACCTTGCTGGCTTTTCCTGGTTGACCTTGATGAGTCCCTCTCTTCTGTCTGCCCTGTGAATGTTGGCCCATCTCAGGCTCATTTCTCAGCCTCTTCTCTTTCTACACTCTCTCCTCCAATGATCTCATCCACTCTGAATGTTTTATTTTATTTTAGTCTTTTTTTCTTTTTTTTCCTGACAGGGTCTTTCTATGCAGTTCAGCTGGCCTTGAGCTCACTCTGTAGCCCAGGCTGGTCTCAAACTCATAACAATCCTCCTGCCTCAGGCTCCTCAGTGCTGGGAACACAGGTGTGTGCCACCATGCCCAGCCCAACTCCAAATGTTTTAAAAAACAGTGTAAGGAAACCTATGTACCTCTCATTAGTAGCAGAAGCTCTATCTATATGCTGATACCTCCCACATGCTGCCTGCAGCCCAGATATTTTCTTTGCATAGCTACAGCTAACCACCTATTTTGCTCATTCACATAAACATCATGCAGCCATCTCAAACTTTACAAGGTTCTAAACTGCTCTGGATCCCTCTCCTCCTCCTCCTCACTGAATTACTGCATTTGCAAGCCACCAGATAGCACCGTGTACCTTTTTTCACTGTTACTGTTTGGATCAAGAATGTCCCCAAAGGCCTCACACTCCTAGGTGGGACTTTTAGAAGATGACTGAATTATGGGGGTGAGGCTGTGCTGACTTCCGGTCAGGAAGTGGTCTGAGGGGTGATGTGGCAGGGTGCACCTCCCTCTCTGGGTCCCAGCTGCCATCATAGGGACAGCTGTCCTCTGCCCAGGTCCTTCCTCTGAGCCACCTCTGCCCAGAGCCAGCTGACCACGCAAAGCTGGGACTGCTGTAACTGAGCCAAAATAAACCTTTCCTCCTCTATGTTGTGGGTGCCAGGTATTGTGTCTCAGGGACAAGGAAAGTGACATTCACTGCTGTTTCCCACAGCCAACAATGGCTGCCATATGGTGGACGCTTATATAGTTAAGGGACAAACAACTCTTGGTTGTACCAACACCCACTTACTTGGCCATTACCCATGATTCTCTCCCTCTCCAAAGATTAAACACACACACACACACACACACACACACACACACAATCACATCATGTCCACCACAGATTATGTTAAATATCTTCCATCATTCTCAAAATAAAAATCTGAGCTATGACCATTGGCAAGGTTGGGATCCACGTTTCTTATCCCCTCTTCCATAGCAGACTTCCCTTTCCACCTATATTCCAGGCTCTTAGACTTCCCAGCTTGCTCCGATGCCTGGCTCCCTCCCACTCAAGGTGTGGTCATACACCCTTGAGGTCTCACCTTAATGTCACTTTCTTGGAGAGGCCTTACATAAGGTCATGGAGAGTTCCCACATACCTGATCTGTTAGGTTTATGTGCATTTTATCTCTGTCACAACTTCCTGGGAATAATGACTGTGGCTCTTAAGTTTGGTCCACAGGGCTTCAAGTATATATTACACATTCAATATTGGGTAGAACTGGAGAATTCACTAGTTGAGTGAGTCCTAGACAACACCTGCAGTAAGGCTGATAGGAGGCCAGCAAGAAATAACGGAAAAGCACTGGAGCCTGAGAAGGGCATCAAAGAACAGAGTTCAGAAAAAGGAGTTCAATAGCAACACTATTTGGTTCCATCTCCTCCTTTCTGCTATGTACATCCTACTTCGTAAGACTGCTACTACTGTGGGACATGGTGGCTCTGTTATCCCAGCATTCTAAGGAGCTGAGGCAGGTGGACAGCAAGTTCTCACAAATTTAAAAGACTAGTCGGGGCAACTCAGCAACTTAGGGAGACCCTATCTCAAAATAAATAAAAAAGGGGTTGGGATGTATGTCATGCCCAGGGCCCGGGTTCAACCCTCAGCATTGCCAACAAAATAAAGAAAAAAAAAAAACAAAACCCGCCCAGGATTAAATACAATACACCGTACTACATTAAGTTCTCTGGTCCACAGTAAGAATTTAATACCGGGTTCAATCCTCAGATGCCCCAATCTCCACCGAGACCTTAACAGTTCTTTTGCTCTTTTATCTTTTAGAGCGTCAACTATTGTAAATTTTTAGGGGCTCATTAATGCACCACCATTCCCAGAAAGGCAGCATTTACACTGGTCAGAAGAAAAAGGCAAAACAGACCTAAGGGTAAATGAAGATGGGCTGTGTTTACTCAATGTGGCAACGTCAACGTGATGAATTCAGCCAACCGAACCTCTCTACTCCAACGAGCTTAGAAGAAAAGTTTAAACTCAAGCCCACGTCTCCTGAGCGCCGGGGACTCAGTGCTTTTAACAGCCGTCTGCTTTAACGTCGGAGACCGACGGTGGTGCGAGTCGCCCTCCCCGCCTCCCCACCCCCACCCCACCCCCGTCTCCCTCGGCGGAGGAGCCCAGGGAACCCAAGGGCGCGTTATTTTGGGTCTTCACAGCACTCCCAGAGGCGCGGGCACGAGTCCCACAGCCGGCGGCCCGGGCGCGTCCCCGCGAGGCGGCGCCGTGACCTTGACGGCCGGGCGCCGGGGACTCCGACCCGCCAGGCTTCCCCGGTCGCGACCCCGCCGCCCTGACAGCGGAAGGCGCGC